GAAAGAGTTTTATCCTGGAGAAATATTTCCTGGCTTTTTGGTGTGTGGTGAGCAAAATCAGAAGCTGATATATTGTTCTATTTGCTGGGAAACAGTGTCAGAATAGTAAAACACAGAAATTTCATAGAGAGGCTGCAAGAACGACAAGGTAGAGAAGTTTCCATAGTCACTAGATACTATGTGCTTACAGGAGTGCAGTGATTATGTGAATTCTTTCATTTTAGCTAAAAAAGAGTGTCTTCCAATTAAGAGTTCATGGAATCATGCTTATTATAATTATTGAGTAATAACCAAGTAGTGTTTACGCAAAGAAGACATCAAGACCCAATCAGAGTACAGAGCATTTCATAAGTGGCAAGAAGGTGTAAAATTACATCTCAATAATTATATGACTTCCCTGCACCTGGCATAGACCATTCTGTTTCAGTACTAACATAATGTTTTACATATGGAAATTGCCTGTCCTATCCCAGGTCTTTAGATATGTGGTGACTGTCCTAGAGTTTCAAAGGTTATTCAAGAACTCTATAAACAAATTGTCTAGACTTAAAATGTAACCCGAAGTACCTAAAATAACTTAAAAGCAGTGATAGGTTTTCTTTTCACCAAACCCTACACTGCTCATATGCAAAGCAGTATCAAACTAACAACAATTATTGTAATTTTTTTTTTTTTTATTTCTGTACCAGATTTTAAACACTAATCTGTTTCAATGAAGGCAGAAGTGAATAATGGTGATAAGTTTAAATGATGATCAAAAAGTCTGCAACAAGGGAAATAGATGTTTTTAGGAGACATCAGTCAATATTTTGAAGGTAGAAAGTAGTTGTGTAGTTAGGTCCGTGCTGACAAATGGAATGGGAATATGTTCAAACTGCTGCAGATATTATATGAATAGAGCTGTTCCAATCTGCGTGAAGCTCTTCCTTGGCTTTGATTACAAAACCTGTCTGGTCAAATAGCTAATTCTTACTAAATCAGTCTGGTATACTTAATTTCTTTTTTATCAAAGAACAATACTCCAAATTTATTGGGAACTAGTTGTGGAGAACTGAATATGATCATTGCACTAAGGCACAGGATAAAATTACATAAAATGATAATCAGAAGTCATTAGAACGGCCCGATACAATGCCTACCATTTAGGCATTGATCCAGTCAAGATCCAGTCAGTCACTGGAAAGATCTGTATTATCTTCTGGTCTGTTTGAGCAGAATAAACATTAGTATTTCAGAATTTGGGAGAGATGTCTTTCCCTGGACACTGACATCACTCTCATAGAGTTTTTTTCATGCATTCAACAAAGCATAATGACAATCTTCTTCCTAGATTCTTGTAGTCATTCAGGTCTGACAGCTGTGGCTGGCCTTGGAGGAATGCTTTACCTGTACCATAATTAGTATATGTAGCATTTGTTCCAAAGTTAAGGAATTAATTATTTTTAGATAATGCAAAGTGTCTACTGGATGTATCTAACTATATGTTGCAATTTACAGTAATGAATAGTTTCTGTTTAATAATAGTCTAAATCTCTTTTTGTATGTCGCTCTGTCCTGACTTTTATTGTTTCTGACTGGCTGCTCTTGAACTTAAGTTTTAGTTAGATCTCAGAGCCAGCCTTGGGAATTTAGTACAACTGGGTAGCTGCCTGCCACTGAAGAGAGCTGAGGTCGTCTGAATGAAGTTAGCTTCGGTGGTTTCTGTGATAAAATATTGCATTCAGAAGCTGTGCCCTTGGCTATTACTGATGCACTGTTTATACCACAGTAGCATTTAGACCAGGACTCCAGTCAGGATCTCTACAATCTCACTGTGCTTGGTGACATGGAGAAGCTTAACAAGAGGCATCCCCTGCCTCAAGTTTAAGTTCAGACTGGATACACAAAATGAGAGTGAAAAGAAGCAGCAAAGTGCAATTATTGACCTACTTGAAGGTTACTCATGCAACTGTCATCTTATGACTGCAGACACCATTACTGTTCTCCCACGATCTGTGGGATATGTAGCTCCAGGAAAGACTTGTTTCTTTATCCTTTTACAACAGTCCCTTTACCCTGCTGCATGGCAGTTGGTTTAAAGAGGGTCAGCTAAGGTTTCTGCTAGGATCTGAGCCACTTCTGTCTGAAACCTCTGGCACAAAAGATATGTCTAAGCTAACTGCTTACCAGTCTTTGGCTGCTGGAGTTCTCAGGGAGGGCAGCCAAGTCATTTTAGAGAAGCCACTTCAGGTTACAGTGAAGAATTAAACTCACATTTTGGAGAAGCCAACTGAAAGATAACCTAAAATCCTTTTCCTTTCTCTACCTGGCATTCCTTCTTCAAATGTAGCTCACCTGGCCACTCTTAGGGATACAATCTGCACCAATTTTTTCTGTCATTTGCAATTACGGTGACTAAACTAGAGTAAAAAATCCATTGCACTTGATAATGACAAAGTTAAAATGAGCAAAACTGGCATTATGTGTCCACAGGTATCTGTCTGCCATATATTGTTGTATTTCTATATTAATCTCTACACAGCTGAAAATAATAATTAAAAAAAATATTGTAGTGAAAACCCCACAGTTTTCCTTCTTCCCTTTTTCTAAACTAGATCTGGATCCCTTTCCACCTGAGGAACGCTATGAGGTTAAAGTACGAGAAGGTGTTGGAGCAGTGCTGCTTTGTGAGCCCCCTTACCACTACCCAGGTAATTCAGCTCAAAGTGCTTCATTTGCAACTGCTTAAGAGTAGAAGAGAGAAGAATATTTATTTTTAAAAGTCTCCTTTAAGTTTACTTAAACGGTAACTTTTATGCAGCTAGAGAATCACTATCTAGGTTAGTTTTCCATTTTGAATACATGCTTGTAGTTGAACATATGTAAAGGATATTGTTGAATTTGAAAACATTTTTTATATTATGAATGCAATAATAATGTAAATATTGTTGTTATTATGATAAACTAATCTGGACAACAGAGGCAGGCTTGGCCTACCATTCAAAGACATAAATACATGTCACTATGTCATTGTGTCATCCCAGACTTTCTGCTTCATTCCTCCTAATGAAGTCACCACAACAGAAATGTTCATGGGCTCCTGTTAAAATCATGGAACAGCAATAGGCACCTCCAGAGGGTCAGCGATGAAGTGATTTATGCTCTGGAAGTGCCTTTCTCTCAGCATTAGTGACTGAAGAGCTCGTCAGGGATTATGCCCGTAATCTCAAGCATCTGCAGTTCCATTGTGAGGCATGAATTTGGCTGTCAGCATCTCTTTTACCATATATCGCTTGTAAAATGTGATAATGTTTTAGTTTTCATACTCTGCATCTAAGCATTGCAAGGAACTGAAGAACTGAGAGTATTTCTAGTTAAAATCCCTGGTTGCACAACTGGTGAAGGCTTCTCAGTTTCTCAGTTGCGTGAGGTCAAGACCCAGCTGCCTGTCTTCTCCCCGGCCACTCCAATTCCTGTGGGAAGGCTGTGCCCAAGGGGAGCTGTGCACAGTGTAGCCAGGTCCCCAGTAATCTGCACTTATGGGAGCAGTACCCTGATCTTCAGTGTAGACAGGTATTAGCTGGCTACTGAAACAGGTATGTTCTCTCTCACATAGCTGCCACTCCCTCAAAAAAAGATCTATAGGCTAGAAATCAGAGTGAAGTGATTTATATGCCGATAGTATTCCATGGCTTAAGTAGCTCGTGGTATTATTATTATTGTTTTTTAATATTGACTAGAAAATTTTTACCCCCAGATGACCTCAGTTATCGCTGGCTTCTAAATGAGTTCCCGGTATTCATTGCTTTGGACAAACGACGATTTGTGTCACAGACGAATGGCAATCTCTACATTGCAAATGTAGAAGCTTCAGATAAGGGCAATTATTCATGTTTTGTGTCCAGCCCTTCAATAACAAAGAGTGTATTCAGTAAATTTATTCCACTTATTCCACAGTCCGATCGTAAGTATTTATTGGAAATACTATGTACATGCTAGTGTTCTAACTGTATTTTAATTTTGCTTATTCATCACTACTTTCATCTGTGTGAGGAGAATTATATGGCAAGTTATAAAGGCTACTACACAATGTTGTTTAGTTTTACAGATACAGAGGTCCAAATCATTCCCATCCGCAGTGAAAACTCTCTGAAGGAAATCTCCCCAGATTCATTCACAAACTTCCTTTCATATGATTGAGAACAGATTTCTCCTCCCCAGAGTGCCCATCTCTTTTATGTGATAAGCCCCTGTACTCATCCCAAAATCTTTAATATCTTTCCTGGTCTTGGCATTGGTTCAAAGGGGTATGACTGTAAAGCAGAAACTTTATGTAAAAGTTGATAAACAGCTTCAGGAATTAATTTTTTTCCCAGGAAGTCTCCCATGAAATGGAAAATCCTTTTCCCCTGTTGAAGTTGCCTATCCAACGGTGGCCTAAGGGCTTTGTGTCTCATGGCCAATCCCCTAAGATGTGTTTTTGTGTCGCTAGATTATTCTCTGCCATTTCTTCATGAAAGCTGCATCTTTTCTAGATAGTAACCAAGTTCCCTTTTGCCACTTCAGACTGTGAGTCACTGAAGTCTCACAAGCTACACATCAGGATTTCAGTGCCCCTTTTATCTGTTAACTTTCCCATATTACAGTGAAGAACTGTGATTGAATTTGAGTAATTACAAATCAGTGATACTTGTCCAAATTTTCCATGGCCAATACTCACACTGAGATCTTCATCTAGAAGAACTGCAGGAGGAGTCCTACAGGGATCACCAGTAGGTAAATTTGATTACATTTGCATCCCTGTACCCTCATTAAGCTGTAGATTTGCTGGCTCTAGCTCGTTCATACCATTACTAAGAAAATACTGAGCTTAAATTCACAATAATTCAAAATATTCCATCCAGTAAACAAAAATGTGGAAAATAGAGGCTCAGGCTTTTGTCTACCCACACTCACAGCACATCATCACCCTTCAAATGTAAGTAAATCAGTTTATGTTAAAGCATTGTGCTGTAAAAAATGTTAGGCGTTACTCTCCACAGAAGGATAACTAGTTGCTGAATAAAACAATTCTGCCTTACTATGAAAAATCCAGTGCTAAATCAGACTTCATGGATGGCCAGGCTATTTATTCACTGTAAATAATTTTGTCTGGAATTTTAAGGGCTTTCTTGAACTGTGGAAGTTGTAATAGCTGTATTTCTTTCTGCTGTGTCTTTTCTGAGAATCTCTTTTTTTTCATGTTAGGTGCAAAAGTATATCCTGCTGATATCAAGGTGAAGTTCAAGGACACGTATGCTCTCCTGGGGCAAAACGTGACGCTGGAGTGTTTTGCTCTTGGGAAGTAAGTGTGTTGTAAAGTTATTGTAGAGCACTGTTTGCTTTCATATTTCAGGGAATGAAAGTACATGTTTCATCATCAAACACCTTTTTGTAGTCTGCAATTTAACAGCCAGTACTTGAACGTGCTGATTTGTACTTTACTGTACCTTTTCAAGTCCGGTTCCTGAACTCAGATGGAGTAAATACCTTGAACCCATGCCAGCCACTGCTGAGATAAGCATGTCTGGTGCAGTTCTTAAGATCTTCAATATTCAGTATGAAGATGAAGGACTTTATGAGTGTGAAGCTGAAAACCATAAAGGAAAAGATAAACATCAAGCAAGAGTTTATGTACAAGGTAGGTAGCACAATTTTATTCTTCACGATCTATGTTGCATTTACTTATGTTGGAAATATCAACAGTTGGTGTCAGTGCTGACTCATAGCATCATCCTGACACACCGCTGTTCAAGTTAATAGAGCAAAATCAGAACTCATGCATTGAATGCCAGGCATGACGTTTGTGTTTTATTGAACAACTATTCAGTTTTTATGGCTATGATAGTTGTATATACACCTTGACAGTAATGTATGTTATTATTGATATAATTATGCATAATGGAAATTAAATAAATTTAGAGTACTTGAAATGAAAGAACTTCCAGGAAGAAAAAGAGACCATTAGGTTTGTTATGCTTTCTTGTTTCCTCATTTTAAACTCTCTCTCTTATTAGCTACACTCAATTCTTTATTCATCCAGCCTCTGTCCTTCCCCTTCACGCATTTGCTTAAATGAGGGAACCAAAAAATTCTATCTTACTGCTCAAAGTGGAATCATCCCAAGTAACCTGACTCCTTGACTGAGACTTATGCCACAAAACTGTGGCATGAAAAGGTCATACATAACATCTGAACTACCTTCAGATTTCTGTCTCTTTACACTGACTGTACAGAACATCTCCTGAGTTAAGATCCTCAGCTTGAACTTCAGTGGGATAAATTCAAATACCGCTTGTAATAGGTAAAGCTAATAAATAGGTTGGTTTGCTTAGCAAAAGCAAAAATGCTGTGGTATTTTCAATATTCATTTCTTAAATATCTTCTCTGGACCAGGAGAATATTTCTTGGAGACCTTTTCAGTACATACCTGGTTTTGCATATTTTCATGTCATTTAACTATCATTTTTATGGCGTTACTGAGTAATTTCCACGTTGTATAATCTACAGGTCAGTGTAAGTGGTAATAGCTTGTGTCTGTGGACATTCATGAACCATTATTTCAAGTCCGCATTTTCTTCTCATAAAAAATAGTTTGAAGTTATTGTGAGTCTATGTGGTAAGACAAAAACATCTTCACTTCATTCTTTCTTGTGCTTGTGCCTTGCTGAGTTAGCAACATTACTTTGTGTTGCCTGTTAAGTATCCTGAAAGAAGCAGTGGAATTAATAGAACATAATGCTAATTAAATACGTATCTGCTATATTTACAAGGCATCATGGTTTTTATTCTTCAGCCTCTCCTGAGTGGGTGGAACATATCAATGACACAGAGAAGGATATAGGCAGTGACCTATACTGGCCTTGTGTAGCTACAGGCAAGCCTATTCCGACAATTAGGTGGTTGAAGAATGGTGCCTCGGTAAGTATATTGCCATAGATAACGCAGGATTGATTGGTTAGCCAATGGAAATGATTTTTTGAAGCATGCATTATTAAAAGGTTAAAAGAAAATGAATGATAATGATATAAATATTTGCCGATTCCACTTGCATTAGGCATTAATTTATCTCAGTCTTCTCTTCGGTTTTGAAATGCATTTCTTCAGGCTATTTAATATTTAGCTCTGAATTATGAACTTCTCTTTTGACCACATGTTTGAGAGGTCGATTTCCCTTTTTCTCCAGGCCTTTTTAAGTAAATGCTGTTTTCTTCTCTCTGGATAAAAAAATATCGATCAGCTTCACTCTAAAAATAATCCTTTTTACCGCGTTAAACATGAGTGTGTCTTTAAAAATGTAAGACAAAATGGAATCAGTGGAGACAAGAGAAGAAAGAGTACTTTTTAAATTATCAGTGGTGTTCCTATATCATGTACTTTTTCACATTTTTTCTAACCACAGAATATTGCAAAATTCCATTATGTTAGGTAAGGAAATTTAAATGAGTACCATTTGATAATTTAAGTTTATTACATTGGATATTTTGTTTAAACAAAGTAGATTTTCTGTCCAGGCATTTCAACAACATATTTAATATCTATTGCTTATACTGTATGATGAGCCATTAAAGAACAAAGAGAATAGAAGAGGGCACAACGTGATGCTGCATGTGTTGAGCTGTGGTGACACTGATCTTGGCAAGCAGACAAAAATAAGACAATGAGGCAGCACTATTTTGGCTGCGTATCTTAAGAAAAATGTGGGAGGTTGGAGAGAGAACAGGGATATCACCATCTGCCATATGGAGATGGCTTAAACCAGGAAAAACAATGCTGTTTTCTAGCTTCGGTAGTTATTACAAACAAGTAATTTAACAAGAAAATTGCTCGATGGTCCCCACTGAACTTGGCTTTCACTGACAAAATCTCCATATTGGATTGCAGAAAGCAGTGTGCAATTCTCCCGTAGTACACCAAAAGGTTATGCTGTGTGTTAATATGATGAGATTATTTCCAAACGGAAAATAGCAAAAATATTTAAGCTGCCTTGAAAATATAACTTGTTTCTAAATTAGATAATTTTTAATTAGGTATTTCACTTAGCACAAAACAAAGATTCCTTGTAGAAAATCTGATTTTATATAATCAGATAATTACGTATACTATTATATTATAGTAATTATATATTGGTATGTTTACTGTAATCTATTCTTTTTTCAGATAAATAGTATTCTTTTAATCTTCCACTGCTCCATGCACTCCAATTGACTTGTATACAAAGTTTCAAGCTTTTCATCTTGATTTGCACAAGAAGACAGAATTTACTAACATGATCTTTCAAAAAAGGATTGATATCTATTTGTAATTTACATAATACCCCACCGCACTTTGTGCATTTTTATATACAAATTTTTAGAAATAGATTAAGTACTTTATTTTGATTTACTCTATTTTCTTTTTATATTAAAACAAAGTAATAGAAAATAGTTTATACTACCTCCTAGAGGAATCTGCTGCAAAACTCCTACCTCATTGGGACTTGCTTTGACCTTTTATACCCTTGTAAAACAGCGTACATACAATAGATAGTACTGAACAGTGAGCATGGCAAAACAAAGCTTATGTGCATAAAATGAATTCCATTTCTTGTTTCTTATTTCTGAATCAGTAGTGTTTGCATTGGTATGGTAACAGTGGACTGAAGAGTTGATGTGTCTAGTGCCACTCAGCTGTGGCTTTTCCAGAAAAATATTGATTGACACTGAATCTTTCTTTAAAAAAAGAAGGTGAATACATTGTCACAAAGACTTGAGATGTAATATGGATAAAATAAAATCTCACTGCTGTCTGAATGTTGTGTGAAGGAGTCTCTTCTGAACACTGTCACTAATAAAAAAACGAAGAAATGTGGATGGGTGTGGATTCTTCAGCATACGTAGTCTGTATGAATATCTTCTTGTTTTATTGATTCTGTGTTTTAGTTCCGGAAAGGTGAACTAAGAATGCAAAGTCTGAGCTTTGATGATGCCGGCATGTACCAATGTATAGCAGAAAACACGCATGGAATTATTTATGCAAATGCTGAACTGAAGATTGTGGGTCAGTGGGATTATTTGTTCTACTTACTATTTAAGGTTTGAGTAAGCTAGCAGTCATACTTGCAAGCATTGTTTGGTAATAGATTCCTGTAAGGATAAAGCTAAGAACCCTCACTCAGTCTGGGTGAGGTGTGGTTTATTTGAGCTCCCTAGCTGGGTTTTGGCAACAACTTGAGGAACCAAGTTACTAATTTATGGGGAATGTTTGCTGTATTATTTCTGATGTTTCCTTGCTGCTGTTACCCCTCAGAGGAACTGGTAATGCAGGAATTACATGAAGCACACAGAGCTGCTGTCTACCCTCTCAAGCTTGCAAAACTGATGGAGAAGTGTTTTCTTTTTTGCTCATCTGTGCTCACTGCTCTGTGGGGCAAAATCTGCTGTTTTAGAAACCATGTTGTCAGCCACCAGGCTTTTGAAGCTCTTCCTCTTTACTCTCCCCTTCGCTTTTGCCTTCTAGAACCCATTAAGACCAGCCGCAATGTTTGTGTGCAATACAGCTGTTCCATCTGATGGCTGGATGTAGTTATTGATCCATTGTGTTTTCCTAAGGAGCATCCTGTTGAAAGTTTGGCTTTCAGATCCAGAGTGACCAGGCTTAGAACAATTTCTGACGTTTTTACTGATGCCATTAGAGCAGACATACTGACTGTATGACAGGGCTTTCCTAGGAGATTTCCCTGCAGTAGTTACCCTGGGTTCTTTCCATCTCTCACTTGCGTCCACACTTTCCCCCGAGCTAAATTATTCTTGACTTCTCCAACCCCCTGCACAACAGTACTTAGTCTTTCACTGTTAGCCTGGATTACCCAGAAACAAGCACTTACTTTTTGCACGCACATTTTCAAAATTCAGTATTGGTAAGATGTGGATGTTTCTCAGAGTTTTTCTCTGTCCTGCTGCAATTAACTAATAGCCCTATTTCCTCAAGCTGTGCACACGCTCGCTGGCACGATTAGCAATGATGGTACGCCGAGGTGCAAAACAATTGAAAGCATTTTTTCTTTTATTTGCTTACGAATAAAGAGAAAACAGTAAGCAAAGGTCTGACCTCAGATACATTATTGTGGTGCTTACTACAGTCATGTCTTACTACTCTTGTACACAGAGTGCACTTAAGGCCAGTTGGCCAAACAGAAGACTACAAAGAGGAAGAAGGGCACAATCTTAAAGTTGCTAGAGGGGGGTTAAAGCCACTGAAAAGTAAACCCAACTGTTCTTTGGAAGTATGATCAAGTGAGCAACTTTTTACAGAAATTGGTCTCCAGGAATCTAAATTTTATTAGGACTGATCAAAAGGCCTTTGAAAGGGAGAACTTTCTATTGATTTCAGTGGACTTTGATCTTGTTAGATGAAACTTAGATGGAAGTTCAGAAATCAACAGAAAGAAACCTCTGGTGTAACACAGCATAGAACTACAAAATGAGTTTTCCTGTTTCTTTTAGATCACCACCTATTTCTCAGCACATTTCTGCGTCGTTAATATTTTTCTCACTGGTCTGAATAACGGACATTTGTATACAATGCAATAGTTCTGTATTTACTTCATGCTGCAAACAAATCGTATTTTGTAGAAAAATCACTAAGAGCAATACTGGTGTTAATTTTTGCTTTCAGCTTCACCTCCTACTTTTGAACTGAACCCTATGAAGAAGAAAATCCTAGCAGCTAAAGGAGGCCGTGTAATCATTGAATGCAAGCCTAAAGCTGCTCCTAAGCCAAAATTCTCCTGGAGCAAAGGAACAGAATTGCTTGTAAATGGGAGCCGGTTAGTATTGACTGTTAGTGGACACTGGGAGTCTTAAAAATGCTGCCTTGTGTTTCTGTTTATCCTGTAGGCTAGTTCTCACTTTTGCAGACCTCAGGGGCAGGAGAATGTGTAATTTCAGGAAAACAATATACCAAAATGTTACTAGCAGCATGGATCAAAATAGCTAGCACTATATCCAACCAGTCTGTTTGGTGCTGTTCACATTTCAGAATTGAATTTTATCACAAAACTGTGAGAAAAATATTTGAATGGTCACAAGTGAGTAAAAGTACACTCTCTTGCTCCAGCAATGTGAGGCATCTAATCACACCACAGTCTATTTAAATATTTTTACTACAGGAGTGTTTATAAATGCAGTAGTTAGATGTGAGCTTCCAAGCGTTGTTTGTGGTTTGTTTCTTTCACTTACTAAATTCTACTGAAAGTATTGCTTTCTAATATAAAACCAAATTTCTCTTGATGTATTTTTTGCCCTCAATAGCATACGTATCTGGGATGATGGGAGCCTGGAAATTATCAATATCACAAAGCTGGATGAAGGTCGCTACACCTGTTTTGCAGAAAATAACCGAGGAAAAGCCAATAGCACTGGTGTTCTAGAAATGACAGGTAAACCTCTAAATTGTATTTCTTTAAACTAGAATCCCTTGATTCAAAATCACTAGTTTTTGTTCCAGCATTGCACCACTTTTGCAAGCCATTTTATATCTTTCTTTCTAGTTTAACTGCTCATTAAACAATGAATTGGTGCTTTTAAAGCACATTGCTCAGTCAGAACCAGGTATGTGTGCACCAGTTCTGAGACTGTAACTCAATTTTCAGGGTTGATTTTGCCATAAGAGATTATTAAATCTGACCCATTAAACAGACACGTTTTAATGCATTCATTCAATTCAGTAGCTTAGCGCTCAGGCTAAGGTGTGGTCCTGGGGCCATGGGACTCCTACTGACCTTCCTTAGTTTTTCGTTTCTTTTTTTCTGGTGGGGTAAGTAAGTTTGAGAGAGCATTGCAGTTAAAGAAACATGCATTAAATTTGTGAGATAAGGGCATATGACTGCATTACTAAATTCCCTTCTTTTATGGGTATTAGTATTTACTGATTGACTACTGATATCCTTAATTGTGTATTCTAAATCTGATGTCAAATAAATAAAGAGCTGTAAAATACAGACAGGTAAGATGACATTCATGAACAGATATGTCTTTCAAGTATCACTGACAGTAGAAGAGACATTTATCAAATACATTTTCTAATGTCTGTTCCAGAAATCATGCTGGATGTGACAGCTCAATGCCACAATATTGATGTACCAATGTATGAATTAATCTGTATCCTCAGATCATATGAAAGCATTTTTCTGGGTGATTTATACCAAAGTTATTGTACCAAATGAAGTGTAAGACTTTTATTTTGATTAGGTTTGTTTAAAGCTTGCAGTTACTTTTTATCATCTTCTGCAGTTTCATACGTCTTAATATTACCCTCAGGCATTTAATTATTTTGAAAGGTTATGTAAATAAATATCCAGCCCCTTAACAGTTATATTATACCTTGTAAAATCAGGAATATCATTTGCATACTAAATTTGCACAGTGAAACACTTAAACCATATGTGTATAAACTTTATAAACTAGGTATAAAGAATTTTAAAATTTTGGAGAATTCTGCCCTGATTCATTTCAAAAGGAAAACCAAAAGACTAAGACATTTCCCTTCCATCACAGCAGAAACAGAAGGGTCAGATGACGTATTTCAGAATTTTTTTCACGTTGTGCACAATGTTGAGGGTTGACAAAGAATGCTTTGAAAATGGTATTCCCAAGCACATTGTGTGGCCTGTAAAACTTCTCAGACATTGTGCATGACTACAGGAAATTAAAAAGTTAAATCTGAAGCTGACAGGCACTGCAAAGTCTGATGTTTTTTCCCACACACTGTTTGTTCACTGCCACTGGACCACTCTTTCAGCAACTTAGACTGGTAGAGTACTTTATGTAAACATTTAGAAAATCACTGATGGTAGAACCAAATGCTGAACGTACAGGCACAATGCTAGAATGGAGCAGGTATCCTAAGCACGTGTCCGTCGCTAGGACTTCAAAGATCAGATGTTAAAAGGTTGCTCCAATGCCCAATGCGATGCTCCATTCTGCAAAAGCCGGTAGTTGTGCCATCCTCACAGCCTCAGCATTAAGCACGTTTTAGATATTAGTAGAGTAGGATCTGGGGGAAGGTTTCTCTCCAAGGCAGGTTGACAAGGAATGTTTGGTTTATTCAGGATATTTTGCTGTTCTGTGTATGGTGGGGTGTGGTGTGCTCCTTGGAGCATGATCAAACCTAGGCCTTAACTAGTAGCAATAGCTCTTTTCTTACGGCTATTGTCTTCCAGGTTTTGGTACCCTACTCCCACGTTCATATTGGTGGGAAAGGTATTATATGCCATGGCATAAGGAAGACACTCTGTGCCTTTTTTGTTTTATGATAATAATTGAAAGAAAAGTAACAGGTCTTAGTGATCCAGTGAGTCCCCTCCAGAACAGCGTTGCTAATTTGCCATATGTTTGATGCATGTACCAAGAGCTGTAGCAAGTATCATGAGATCTCCGCTGGTTTTTGTTTCTGTAATAATAATAAGACATTGCTGGGGCATATACAGGTTTCTTCCTTTTGTTGTATTATTTTCTGTTCCTTTCCACATGTAGCTATTTGCATAGTTTGTTATGCATCCATTATATTGTTTCTCAGTAGATAAATTAAGATCTCAGTCCCTGCAATGCTGTAATGAAATCTGACTCAGCCTGACAACTGAGTAGAACTTTCCATTCGTTAGAGACAAGTTTTAAAACAAAATAAATATTATAATTAAAACATAAGAAATATTATAATGAAAACAAGAAATGCAACACAAGTCACATAAGAATAATCATCTGTCTTCTTTCTACCTGAGATATAGTCAGTGAATAAAAATAGCTTTAAATAGTCAGCAGTGTGACTCAGAGACTGAAATACAGCCATTTTCAAAGGACAGCTAAATAGAAGTTAGGCATTTCAGTTTGTAAAAGGTTTCCTTTGTTCTCTTTAGTTTGGTCCTTTGAAATGTAGCTCCATGAATAACATGTAAACTAGAGTTTGAGGGAGTGGTTTAATGTATAATCAAACAGTTACAGAGCTGAACTTGCATCTCGATAAACATTTATTTATTGCAATTTTCCATGTTTGCTGTTAACTTCACAGAAGCTACAAGGATTACTTTAGCTCCGTTGAATGTTGATGTCACCGTTGGAGAGAATGCTACCATGCAATGCATTGCATCCCATGATCCCACATTAGACCTGACATTTATTTGGTCTCTAAATGGCTTTGTAATAGATTTTGAGAAAGAGCACGAACATTATGAAAGGAATGTTATGGTAAGATACTATAGATCCTTACTTAATATGTGAAAGCCTAGTTTTCTTTATTGTGAATAGCTGTTTTTTCGGGTTTACTTTTTCTATTGTGTTGGCTCAGGTCTAGAAAGATGCAGTACGCTAAGAACATAAAATAAAATTACAATTTAGACACCTTACAGACATGTAGACACTTGCAGATAGATACCTGAAATCAGATATCTAAACTGACGTAAGTATTTTGGTACTTCAGTTAAATCCCACTTTGATTAATAGTGAATATAGCTGGTAAGTAGGTAGCCTGATCGTAAACAGGGTGCAGATTATCTCGAATAAGTGTGCATATGCATTCACTTTTACTTACCCATGTTTTTCTCATCAACATTTCTAGAATTTGGCACAAGACTGGGACAGATGGTGGGTAGGAGTCAAACAATCTGTAAACACTGAGCACGAAGAGTTTGTGTGAAGGCTAAACAAGTTAATACAAAGACACTTGTTTTGGCACGTAGAAAGAGGAATCGTAGATATTTTGTGTTTGCATGTATGGTTATCTTTTTAAGATAACCATAGCTAGTCTCCTACCAGGCTTATTCAAAATTAATACCTCTATTAGAAGTCCCTTCTCGTTATGCCTAATTACACGCTGATTTACCTAATATTCAACAACAACCTCAGAGTGGTTGTCCATATGTGTGTATATTTATTCTGTTGGTCTGGGATTAAATGATAGAAAAATCCTCAAATTTAGATATCTTTTTTTTTGTGCTCCCAAGAGGAACTGCAGATGTGGAGAGAAAAGGTTGCTAATGGTACCTGTAGTGTCTGGGAACACCAGGAGCCATGTTCAGTTTCAGCTCCATGTTCAAAATGATGTACCATGTAACAGTGCCTCCTGCAGAGTCTTTCTTCTAGGCTGGCAATATTATTTGATTTTCCATGGACCAAGAGATTGTTTTTCTCTCTTTCAATATCTGTTTATCTTCAGGTAAGATGTTTCAAGCATAACTAATTTAGTCTGATTTGGAGCAAACCAGTCCTTTGTGGAGTCAGGGTTGCCTCAGCCTGCTCATTTGCTGGGTTGTAAATGTCCATAAGTCACACTGCTCTCTTCCAGTGAGAGAGCAAGTCCTTGTCCAAAAAAACAGTAGAAGTATGATAAAATTAGCTGAAAAACATTGAAACCCAAAGTCATAAAGGGTTTTTTTCTGCAACAAATCTCACGAAAGTCTATGTCCAAACTCAGTAGCAGGGTACTAAGCAGTTTGCAACGTATTTTGTGTTGATTCAGGAATTAAAAAATATGTAGATCTTCACTAGTACGCTGGCATCTTTCAAAACATTTCCTGCATGTGGCTATTAAGCCATGTTTTTGATAAGTTTATATTTACACTTCAGTAAATCAGTGCATAGGAATAGCGTGAAAAAGCTTGAATCACCTCCTAATGGCATTAGTTTGTCCTTAGATAAAGGCTGGAATGAGTCTGAGTGTCAGTCAAAAAAGAGTAAAGCCCCATTAAATGTATTCCTTGTAAAAGAAAAAATAAAACCACGCTGTTTCTGTCAAATTTTTTTTAGTTGATTGCTTTTAGCTACCTGACAGAAGTCACACAAAAAATTGTCTTCTGTGAAACAGAAAATCAGGCTGAAAGTGGTGATGAATCAGTAATTTTGGTGTGGAAGGAAGGTAAAAATGCCTTTACCAGAGGACTTTGTAATGCAAGACCATGCAATAAAAAAGAAAGGAACCTGAACTTTCTCATCTTTTGATCATGTGTTGAACAAAAGTTTTTATATCATTGACATACACTTTTGGTTTTTCCTCTTGATAATGAAAATAGAAGGCAATTGGATTTTTTTTTCTTTTAGGGGAATTTAATTCTGAAATGTAAACCCAATTTTAGGGCACTTTCTAGGAAAGCACTTCAAGTGAACAAATCTGGGGCCAAATAAGGGCCTCAGCAAGTGTGTGAGGTGTAATTCTCCGTGAATATTTAGGTTCCCAGCCACCTGTTTCATCTTCCAGATAGCCAGTGGTCCTGGATCTCCTGATCCCAAATTCTGATTAACCCCACAATACTTTAGGCGCTTTATTGAAGTGCTTGATTTTAAAACTAAATCAGCCTAGCTTTGCCAGGCTAGCTTGGTCTCTACAGACCTTCTACAGTTTGCAGAGAGAGAGAGGTGGTTCACTCCATGTGAGTGTTGAATCTTGTGCTGGAAGATTTCTTCTTTCCGTAGATTATGGAGGTGGATAATCCATAGTATGCAGAGGCAGCTGAAGAGCAACTAGCTCTTTACGCACTTAGACAGTTAAGGAGGTTAGATCCAAACATCCATTAATTTTGATTAACCCCACAATACTTTAGGCGCTTTATTGAAGTGCTTGATTTTAAAACTAAATCAGCCTAGCTTTGCCAGGCTAGCTTGGTCTCTACAGACCTTCTACAGTTTGCAGAGAGAGAGAGGTGGTTCACTCCATGTGAGTGTTGAATCTTGTGCTGGAAGATTTCTTCTTTCCGTAGATTATGGAGGTGGATAATCCATAGTATGCAGAGGCAGCTGAAGTGCTCTTTACGCAGTTAGACAGTTAAGGAGGTTAGATCCAAACATTCATTAATTTATGTGTCAGTGTGCACTCCAACTTCCTGTAGAATATTTCTCGGTTTGTTGTGTTCATTTTGCCCTTGGTCAATACTGGTAGAAGTTATTTTAGCAGGGGCAGCTTCTTGTTTCACATTCCTAAGCCTTATTTCTGGTTTTTCAAATGCAAACCAAAAGCAGGTAATCTCTGTTCTTCTTCCACAGGCAGCTCAGTCTTCCTCACCCAGGACAGAGATTGCATTTGAAGTCTGGAATTGCGATTTGTAGTTATTCAGCAATTTAGCACTTAAGTAATAACAAATGCAGGATTTTTAACGAATTCGACGAATCTAATAGAAAGGTTTATATAGGATGTAATTTAGAGGAATATGCACTTCCAATAAAAAGGCTTATATAGGATGTAATTTAGAGGAATATGCACTTTCAATATGTCTTTTTCATTCATTTATTATCATATTCTTCAATTAAGGGTTTTTCTCCTTCCTGTGTGAGCTTCCATCTCCCTGGCAGTTCTGAGCTCAAGTCACTGGGTGGCAGGTTTGCTCAGGCTTTCTCGGATGCAAAGGGGTGAGCTGTTGTGCATTTGACGGCAGCAGCCCTAACTGCTGGGCTTGAAGCAGTGGAGTCCATGCTGCCACCCAACCCTTCCCAAACATAAAAGAAAAAAATATTCCATCGTGAATATTAAAATTACTGGATACGTGATGCATGCTGTCTGCGCTATAATTTCCTGTTGATGAAGGATCCTCATCTGTCTTCCTGATAATATCACTATTAATTTATGTGACAGTGCAGATCAACATGCTGAAACCTGGTACAGCCACAGTATTTCAGTTCTCAAAATAATACTGTTGTCACATACACATAATGGAATGCTAATGAAAGTCATGTAAATACCTGCATAAGTCTTCTTTCTTTAAATGGAAGCTTTGGTATCCCATCATTGCTGAAGGCAAAACTAATTTGCATTACATTAATACTAAAACTCATTTATCAAAAGAACATTTGTCTGTTCTGATTTCTTGTGCTGTTTTGATTTCTTGTGACAGTGATATTTAAAATGAAAAGTATATACATATTAATTGGTTAGCTTTCAGAGAGTTAAATGGAGTCTTAAAAATCTTACTATTAAATTGATTGCTTTTGACTTTTATGTATGATTTTTTTTATACTTTTGGAGCCCCTCTAGTCCATTTGTATGGACAATCAGGAAGAGGAACTCCATAATTTAACTGATTGAAGTCAGAAACTTGTACATACACTTAGGAAGAGTCCAAGTGGAGGCTGTAATAGTCTTAGTCACATACAGGCATGCATACATTTTAAAATACTTTCCGTACCTTTGATATTCCTTTTTTTTGCCACATTGTTTATTAGTTGTCTTAAACAATATCAGTGAATCTGAAACCTTGACATTTTTCTCACTGTTCCATCTTTAGTAAGTTAAATTAGAATCCCATACAAGTGTTCAGGAGCTTGGCTTCCTTGCAAATAACTTTCTTTTATACAAATTAAAAGAAAGAGGGAGTGGTGATGGAAAAATACTATAAGGCTGGATATTGAGTTTTGTCATCGAGACAATAATTGACTTGTTGCTTGCTCACATTTTCTCATATTAGCAATGAGATTATCAAAAGAACGTAAGGAAAAACTCTTATTTGGATACCTGAGTACCTACCAAAATGCAGGCCTGTATCACCCTATTATGTAATAGCTGGATCAAGTACCTTGCTGAAGTGGTTTATAAGTTCTATTCTTGACATCTAGTGTGTTTTTTACATCCCACAGAAGGTACTATCCTTATTTTTACATCAGACAGCTTCAAGGCCTAATGCTGCTTTGTGATCATAATTTGTCAAAAAAAAACATTCCATGGAGCCCCACTTGAGATGTTGAGTTCCCCTCTCCTCTGCAAAAACAAAATAAAGCCAGCAAAACATAGAATTCCAAAACGGTAGGTGCAAAGTTGGAGTGACCAAGACTATTTATAAGAGAAACTTGCAGCTCGTTGCTTTATATTTTTTTAAATTGTGAGAATTTTTGAATTCACTTAAAAATTTTTGCATGCCAAAGATTCTTGGTTTCTATTGTTTGGTACTTGAGTTTTGTTATGAAATTTACATCTTGCATTTAAAAAATATTGAAAAGTAGAAAGCAATCATTCTGTTCCTATTATAAAAGGAGAAGAACCATAAATGAATGTCCCCAAACTTTCTGCTGAACTTCTCACTGACAGGATTAAATGACTAATGGTTTGAAGCATCTGACATATGAGGAGAGCCCAAGGGAGCTGGGATTATTTAGCCTCCAGAAGAGAAAGCTCTGGAGGATCTTGTCAAAATTTGTAAGACCTGGTGAGAAGGAGCTAAGGAAGATGGAGCCAGACTCTTCTCATTAGCACCCATTGAGCAGACAAG